CTATTGATGGACTACACAATAATTAGAAATGCAAGAATAAGACATGGATAATACAATTAGCAGCACAGGCCTTTTATAGTTTCTCACCAAAACTATGAAATTCCCTCCCCAAGGCTTTGACATGTTTAAAGCACAATAAAAAGACATGTATTTTGGTCAGGCTTTTAGAAGACAACAATAAAGAATATATCCTACATGACCTAAAAGGAGAAGGGACAATCTTCCTTATGTGTTCTTATCTTGTACATGTTTCATTGTCATCACCTTCCTTGTATTGTCCTTAGCACACCTGTTTCTGCTATTTGCATGATTTAAAATCACTCAGTATGTTTCAATTTGCCTGTTTTTGGTTTAGTGTAGTCTGCATGATCTACTACTAATAGGGCAGACGTTTAGCTATTTAAACTATTTATCCATTAGTCACGTATTTGATCCAGTAGATCATTATATTTCGCTCACTGTTCTCTGTTTGCTCGTCACAGTCTCAATGAAAGACAGTGTGACAAGTGACAGCTGAATCAATACAATTGGTATTCAAATCAGCTCCACCACAACATGTCCTTGTACCCTCTGGTATCAACAGATAACCACTGTGTTATATGTAATGTAAGAGGTTATTGAAGCTAAATAAAGAACAAGAGTACTTACTGTGTGATGGTGTTTTGTACACTTTTTTCATTGAGTGTCATTCCTGGGGGTGGATCATTTTGCATGGCTAATAATTCCTTTTGCAGCCTTTTCTGTAGGAGGAAATAAAATAAAAACAATTATAGCATGTAGAAAAAAATCCTTATTTGTTCCTACATTTTAATAAGACATTAACTATCAAATTATTTTACATTTTATTGCTGTAAATGTTGGTAAAAACAATAACTCCACCCTGACTAAAAGAGCTATTTTAAGCCAAATATAATGAAAACATGTGGTTAAAGAGAGCAACAAACCTAGTTCATCAGTAGATTAAATAATAAAGTTATAATTGTGTAATTTTAATAATAAATGGTAAATCTCCACATGCACCTGCTCAGCTGGAGGAAACTGCTCAATCTTCACAAATAAAAACAATTATAGCGTGTAGAAAATACTGCCTTCATTTTAATAAGAGATCAATCATCAAACATGTGATAAAAAACACATGTTTGTTATTATTTGATATCTTAATGATGAAAAAGCTGTTAATGTTTGTTATTATTTGATAAGCTGCTCAATCTGCTGCGCACTGGTTCGTTAGCTAGCTTACGTCAACGCCAGCCAAAACAGCAGTTAGCACTCATGTAAAACATTAGCTTTATATATTAACTTATAACATCTCCTTTCTTGAGTTAATACCTATGTGTTGCTGTCTTTAAAACACATCGTCAGTTATGATTTCAATAAAAAATAAGCTGGTATCTGTTGATGATGATGCTAGGTTGTAATGCTAGCAGCAGAGCTAACCGTTTAGCATTAAAATCCTCGCTTTTACTTTAATGTCAACACCACCTCGATTATATATCTGTACCTAAGTGAAAAGGGTAGTAAACTGTCTGAATAAACCCCACTGAAAGTCAGGTAAATTATGAATATCCAGGTCGATGTCGTTTGTGTTCTTACCTGCATCGACGCCATGATGGAAACCCCCCTGCAGCAGCGGAGGCACGACGTCACAGATCACGTGACGCACATAAGTTGTTTTGACAGCAAAACAATCGGCACCGAGGAGATCTCGCGAGAACTTGATTACGGTAATTGACACTGTAACAGCTTTATATAACATAATTTCATTAAATAAATTGATTTAAAAAAAAGTGTCTATGAGATCCTCTATTTCAAGAATATCTCGAGGACAAAAATAGGTTTTTAAATTATTATCTTATTATTTTGCAAACGTTTTTTTATTCTTTAAATATTTACATAGCCTGCATATCTAAACGAGGTTTGGATTAATATGTAAACTAGTGTTAAAATGACATGGATCAATAATATCTGCTATTTTCAAGAAGAATTTGGGGGGGGGAGGTTTATAGGTTATAATCTTATTATTTGGGTAAGAATATAGTTTTATTTCAAAGATATCCATATTTTTGCTGCATATTTAAGGTAATATAAAATAAAGAAGTCAGTTGTTGTAAAATTAAAAAATCATTATATCCTCATGGGTATTCATGTATATTAATCTTTTATATTATCAATTCTTAGAATGTATTTAAATTCATATTATTTTCTCTGAATCATTTCATTAGTTCATGTTGGCAGTGTTTGTGTTTTTTAAAGGTATTTCAATAAAGATAGAAAGACAGGTGAATATCAAAAACAAAGTGTAAAAATTCACTGAGGTGGCGGTCACATGGGTCACTGAGGCATCTGCAATATCAAGAAGCACTAAAGGGAAAAAACAGAGTTAGTGTTTGGGAATTATAATCTTATTTTGGTGAAAATATGTATAAAACTTTGATATAAGCCAGGGGTGCTTTCTTCTTTAGGGATCGAGAGGAAGCTGCATCAAAATTCCTCGTGCGTGTACTTGGCAATACATCTCTTTCTAATTCTGATTGTGTTAAATCTGCAATATGTGTATATTTCAATGTGTTTACAACAATCCCCAGGTGTCATGTGGCTCAGTGGATAGAGTGCTGGACTTTAAATCAGGGGATAGCAAGTTCGAGTCCCACTGCAGTCAGCATGTTGTTGTGTTCCTGAGACACTCCACCCCAAATTGCTCCTGTGGGGATTGTCCACAGTATCGAGTATGTAAGTCACTTTGGATAAAAGCGTCTAACAAGTGACATGTAATGTCATCTCCAAGAAACTAATGTATAACTTCTTTAAAACTTTGTACAAGCCAGGTTGTCTGAACCAGTGCGTCCACTTTTTTTTTTTAAATGACCCGATTAGTTTAGTTTTTTACCTTTCCTGCACTGGTGGGTATATGTATACACTTATAAACTTATTAAGTTGACCTGTTTTAACATTTTCCAAACATCCCAAGCAGGCCAGTATAAAGAGGATTAACAAAGTAAGGCCTCCTACCTCTAATGTCTAACAACTAATGTTAAATTGTGTATTTTAGAAAAAACAATATCAATCAATCAATCAATGTTTATTTATATAGCCCAATATCACAAATGTTACATTTGTCTCAGTGGACTTCACAGTTTGTACAGAATATCAGTATGACAATACGACACCCTCTGTCCTTAGACCCTCATATCGTACAAGCGTACTTTTAGAGACTCTAGGAACAACCAACAACCCTGCATTCTTGGAACGCAATGCCCTAGTAGGACAGTAGGGTATAATGAATTATTTAAGGTAAGATGGCGCCTGCCCATTAAGGGCTTTGTAGGCGAGAAGAAGAATTTTAAATTATATCCTGTGTTCTATAGGGAGCCAGTGTAAGGCAGCCAGAACAGGAGTAATGTGGTCCCTTTTCCTAACTGTACTGGTTAGTACACGTGCTGCAGCATTTTGAATCAGCTGAAGCAGTTTTAACTGACTTCTTGGTACACCCTGATAATAAAGAGTTACAATAATCCAGCCTTGAAGTAACAAATGCATGGACTAGTTTCTCTGCATCGTTTTGAGGCAAGATATGCCTGATTTTTGCAATGTTACGTATGAAAGAAGGCGGTCCTTGAGATTGACTTTATGTGGGCGTTAAAATCCTGATCAAATATAACACCAAGATTCCTTACAGTCTCACTGGAGGCCAAATTAATGCCATCCATAGTTAACATATCTTTAGATAGTTTGTTTCGTAGATTCTTTGGGCCGAGTACAATAACTTCAGTTTTGGCCGTGTTTAACATCAAAAAGTTTAAGGTCATCCATGTTTTTAAGTCCTTGAGGCAGTCTTGAATTTTATTTAGATGATTGGTTTCATCAGGCTTGATGGATAAATATAGTTGAGTATCATCCGCATAACAATGGAAATGTACAGAGTGATTCCTTATAATATTGCCTAACGGAAGCATATATAGTGTGAACAAAATAGGTCCAAGCACTGAGCCCTGTGGCACTCCATGGCTAACTTTGGTTTGCATGGAAGATTCATCGTTGACACACACAAACTGAGAGCGTTCAGATAGATAGGACCTAAACCAGCCTAAAGCAGTTCCCTTTATGCCAACTAAGTGCTCAAGTCTTTGCAATAGGATATCATGGTCGATAGTATCAAATGCAGCACTGAGATCGAGCAAGACAAGAATAGATCCAAGTCCTTTGTCTGAGGCTATGAGAAGGTCATTTGTGACTTTAACCAGAGCTGTCTCTGTGCTATGTGTTCTAAAGCCAGACTGAAAATCTTCAAATAAATCATTGTTTTTTTAAGTAATCACACAACTGTTTTGCGACCGCTTTCTCAAGAATTTTTTAGAGGAACGGAAGATTAGAAATAGGTCTATAGTTGGCTAAAACCTCTGGATCGAGGTTGTGCTTTTTAAGAAGAGGTTTTATCACTACTACTTTGAATGATTGTGGAACATAGCCTGATGAAGACATATTCATAAGATTTTACATTTTGCATTGATTTACTTGAACTAGGCTAGTCATCTGTTCATGCAAAATGAGGCAACAGTAGAGTGCGATATGAGAGTATATTTTTACACAAATCCCCAGGAGACATCTCCAATAAACTAATGTATAACTTCTTTAAAACGTCTTACAAGCCAGGTTGTCTGAACCAGTGCGTTGAAGTGCATCCACATCTTTGTAAATGACCCGATTAGTTTCATTAGATTAGACCCAAAAAGTGTTTACCTTTCCTGCACTGGTGGGTATATGTATACACTTGTAAACTTATTAAGTTGACCCGTTTTAACATATTCCTAACATCCCAAGAAGGCCAGTATAAAGAGGATTTTCAAAGTAAGGAATCCTACTGCTAATGTGTAACAACTAATGTTAAAAAATTATGTATTTTAGAATAAACAATATGTCTGCCGAATGGTCTTTGAGGTCTTTTACACTTTGCATTGATTTACTTTAGACTAGTCGTCTGTTCATGCAAAGTGAGGCCGCAGTAGAGTGTGCTCACCAAACAGGTCTTTATTCATCTGGAGAGGTGAGGGAACATCGATGGAGTGGGGAAACATTCATCACATTCGGGGGCAAGTGAGGCTGCCATCTCCATTTATTACATTAAAATGAAATCCTTTAATACTAATAAAACTTTGACAGAAAGCCAGGTGCAAAAAGAAAAAGGAAATAATAACATGGTATTTATTCAGGTTTCATATAAGTAAATGGCAAAAACAATTTAAATATTCAAAAAAATCTAAAACTGTTTTAAACTGCTACATTTTTTTTTCCTGTAACTTTAGCAATCCAAAAAGTTTGCAGCCATGAGCAGTTCCAGCGCGATCTCCGGAGCGATGGGGAATTCTGGGATTTCCGTGGAGCTGTTGGTGTAGCGGACCTTGTAGGTGAAGTACATGCAGACCTTGGAGAGCACGTGAGACGGGATCTCCCTGAAGTTCACCTCGTTGGTTTCGTTTTCAGCAAACTGACCTGAGGATGGAGCCAGTTGGACAGTTAACATATATTCATACTGTTAGAAAAACCTCACTGGTCACCGTCTTGAGCTTCAATCTCAGGATCCATGTATCTGTGATCCTCTCCAGAATGGAAGTAGTCATCACATACAGAGCATCAACTAGTTCCTGAACAGTGTCCTTCACATGCTGATATCCAAGAGAGGGAGTTACACAGTCACAAGATGGAGGAATAGAAAGCAGTATTCAATGTTTACTTCAGATTAGCTCCACGTCAGAAATGATCATGCTTGTCATATGTCTATCTCCATAGAGGCTGAATCATCATGTTAATCACATAGCTATCATATGTTCAACAGTGTCTCATTAGCTTCTTCTATGTAATCATACATCCGGTTACGTACATAGTTACAGCACGGCCTTGTTATCATGTGTACTCTGATATTGAAACACATACCATGTAAGAAATGTACCTTTCAAAATTAAGCCTTTCAACTGAATAATTAAGCACATGGAGCGAGTTGCAGAGGGTTAACATTGACTTTGAATCCAAATACAGCTTCCAAAATCCAATCTTGAAAGCCATCACACAGAATCATTCTGCAAAAAATATACAAAAGATTATCGGTTTATGGTTGTTTGCCATAAAAGTCAAGTTGCAGTTTTTAACGATGTTATCCGATTAGATGCGTGATCATTTGTAATAATTAGTGTATGATTATTTGGATTGGCTGACGCCCTGCGATGGATACAAATAAAGTCAGTATTACAGAACAAGCCGAGGCCAATTTTCAATTACCATGTAAGAAATTAACCTTTAAAATGAAATTCCAAAGAAGCCTTTCAACTGAAGAATTAAACATATAAAACAGAAAATGACTGCCTCTTTGTGATTCAAAACCAAATCACTTCATCATTTTATCCCATCAAATATTTGTGTGAAGATGAAGAAATGAACATGCAATGATTGAAATGACAGCGTGAGAAAGCAGTGCAAGTAGCTGGTATTGTGTTTTCATATATAATATTTGTTTTTGGGGAAAATTACTCTCGTCTTTCCTTAAGATCTTTCTCTTAAAAAAAGAAATTATAATTTAATGGTACGCATATGTAATATTTTAATGTTAGGTGGGTTCCTTTAACAGGCGCTTCGTGGGTTGATTAATAAAATGTTTTGAAGTTAACTAGTCGTTTTATGGAGCGAGCACAGTGCCATCAACTGGTCATAACAACAGGAATCCAGCAGCCTGGATAGAAAGAATTACGAGCTAATCCCCACAAAAATGTTTGCATGTGTTCCTTACTTTAAGCAGTTTGCAATACTCTAAATAATTTCCCCAAATCCTCACCAGGTCCGCTCAACATGGCTTTGATCGTCCCGGATGTTAAGGCGTGTTCCCGTTTCACGATAAACTCGTGGCCATCCGAAGAGATCAGCTTCACGTACATGGCATCTGGCCCTTCACAGCCACCGTAGGTTCTCTCTTCTCCGTCTGTGAAGCAGCAAACAGTGACAACCTCAAACAGCTGCAGCGCACACGCACACACACTCTCACTCTGGACAACTGTTATAATAACAGCTGGGACTTTGGAGAACCAATTTGAGTCAGCACACACACACGATTAGACATTTAATAAATGCAAGAACATATGATAACCCTATGAATTTCTTAAAAGGTACAGGATCATGTAAAAAAAAAAACACTTTCACAAAAGATCATGTTTTTAGTGTCTTTGCAAATTGAGTTAAAATACTGATACATCAATAAAGTTATTGTTAGTATGATCATTATAAGTAACTAGGTACATTTACTGAACTTAAGTACAATTTTGAGGTACTTGTACTTTACTTTTCCATTTAATGCTACTTTATACTTCTACTCCACTACATGTATTAAAGAGCTTTAGCTACTTTTAACTAAATGTATCTGTAAAAATAAAACTCTTTCAATCACAAACGAGTGAAATAATGTCAATATTCTACAGAAAGTAAATCAGAACTTTGCTTGTCTCTATGCTACAATATTATCTAGAATTGTAACGTATATAAATATTATTATACACACATTAAATACATTTTTCTGCACAATGAGTACTTTTTATACTTGGAGTACATTCTCTGATAATACTTTTGTGCTTTTCATCAGATGAACTCACCCATCCTGCTCCGGGATTATTGTTTACCCTGAAAGGAGACAACACATCACATAAGAACAACACCAACATATACACATAAAGGACTTTAATGCAGAGAAAACACATGTTATTTAATAATAATTAAGGTGTATGCTCACAGTTAGCTAGGCCTGTTGTTTTAGTGAATTTGTGACAGTCACCCTGTACCAGAGACAGCTACATCTAATACAATAAAACACTACAATAGTGTAACATGGCTTTAGTTAGAATACATTTCACAAAGCTGCTAACTGTTCTGCTCAATTCATTTGAATGACATTTAAATCTGCTCTTTTCTTTTCCGTTGAAAGTGTTTTTCGGCGTTAGCTATCTGTTGCTAACATGCTAACGCCTCACAAAAAGGACTTTAATTCCTTTATTAAAGACATTACATTGATATAGGATATTAAGTCAGAGACACAACAACACATAACAACTTGTAATCACAAACACAACACAGTTTCTCACCAATTTAGTAGAAGAATCAGCAGGAGAGGATTGCGTTCAGCTAACGTTAGCCACCAGGCTGTTTATACCCGGAACTACTTTACGTGAGCACCAGGTCCGCGATAAATGTCCTCCGTAGGGATTTCAATCGCAGAGATGAACGGTCCCTTTTAATTCAGGTCGTGTTCGTTGCAAAAAAACGTCAATATGAAAGTTACATTTATTTTGTATTTTTCTTATTTATTAGTGTGTGAGTTTTCTCCAAGGATACAACATATCTTACCTTTACAACAGAGAGAACAAACAACATGCAAATCAGAGGCTGTTATTAGTGGACATCTAAATATCTCCACAGAATAACAATGGCAAAAATAAATACAGATAGACACAAAATTACCACACATATGCACAAGTTGTCTTAAAAAATGACAAAAAAAGCAACGAAAAGAAGCAAAATGTGTGTGTCTTGCTCCTATGTAGGTTTGTATGGGCCTTTTGAATTGTCTCATAATCCATGGTGTCACAATACTTGTCCAAGAGAACAAGCAACATATCAGAGGCTGTTATTGGATATCTAACCACTGTGCAATGTTTTTAGAAAGACAGTATGACTGTGCAGGGGTCCATCGTCTCATGATCCATGGTTTCACAATAAGAGGGGTAGGATGACAATATGATTTTATTTATGATAAAGACCTGAGATGACTTGTCAGATTTCCACTGGTTTACAGGCCAGTCATGAAGAGATGATTTGCGCTGTGAAGCCTTTAGGGGGCGCCTGTGTGTCAGACTATCTCCACGAGTTGTGATGCGCGACAGCAGGTGCTGATTGGACATGACAGAGACATTTTGCAGGCCCATCAATCTGGATTCAAGAAAGAATGAGAGAGAGAGGGAGGGGAGAGAAAGAGGCATGTACTCTGCCCTTCTTCATGTACCTTACAAAGTCCAGTTTGTGTTCATTTATTCACCATTTTGTTTACACACGAGACTGCATAAAATCCACAGGAGCAGAAAAACTAACCAATTACACAACAATCAAATAAAACAACAACTAAAGCTACAAAAGTATGTAAACATGAATTAAACATGATGATAATTAACTTTAAAACGTTTTTAGTTTTATGAAACTTGGGTTCCCCCTGCATTTTCTGCATTATTTTGATTATTCATCTGAATTAGTTATAACCTTGTTTCCTTGGTTAACATGGGGTTGTTGTTTGCATCAACAGGCCTTCATCACATCCCATAATGTCTCCTGAAACAGGTACAGGGTGTGTGAGGGAGGCTGGAGATTAAGTGGGCACATACTGTAGTCACGGTCAGGTTCAGAATGTGACTTTGCCCTGATCCTGCTTCTGTCATGCAGCAAAAGTGATGACTGCTGAAATGTGAGGCTTGCATATGGACGCAGATATCCGAGACGGGACACTAAGAGTAGCCTGAGCGTGCCAGCAAACTGTGTGTGTGTGTGTGTGTGTGTGTGTGACGCGGGGGGTGGGAATCACACACAGATATTAAAGAAAGAACTGGTGGGAGATGATTTTGTTTTTTAAGTGGAAGTCACGGCTGCAGCACATGTGAGTTCTGCAGCCGTGACACCTGACCTGGTATTTGTCTTACAGTAATACCAGGCTTAGCTATGCTGTCAGTTTGTGTTCCAGAAAGTTCCAGTAGCCTGTTCACACACACACACACACACACACACACACACACACACACACACACACACACACACACACACACACACACACACACACACACACACACACACACACACACACACACACACACACACACACACTCACACACACACACACACACACACACACGAAAACAATCACTGACCTTCCAGTCCCCCATTACACCATTAGTGCTTATGATCAGGCGGCGGCAGTCGCTTTCATGTTTCTCTGCAGCTGCTCTCAGCTCTATTTTAGGGAGGCTGCTGTGGACCCTCAGAACACACACACACACACACACAATGCATTCAAACCATCTTGTAATGCAGAGTGATCTCACCCGTCCCGTTAACACGTCCCCTCTGATCTCACTTTTCTTGCACACGCAGCAGGCCATTCTGGAAATGGTGGGATGCAGTTAACTTGCTAGAAAAAAGACACTAAGTCTAATTAAATGTTAAATGTTTGTCTCACATCTTAGACTGTGGTTTGTGTTCTTATAGACTTGCAAATGAACTGATATATGAATGTGCATTACCCGTTTTTGCCTAAATTGGTGGATGACTTTGCAGAGCTTTTACTAAATTTAAAGTAAGGTAAGGTATACGTTTATTTATATAGCACATTTTCAGACACAGAGGCAATTCAAAGTGCTTTACATCAACACTTACATTATTAAGTCGGTCAAACTCAGTTAAATCAAACTATTGTCTACACATCTGATACTCTGTATGTGTGTGCATGTAAACATATTCATTATAAAGCTGGAAATATGTCTATTTTTCTCTGTATAACTTAACTTTAAACGGTTAGGCTCCATTTCTTTTGAACTAAAACTCCTTATAAAACAAGAAAATAATCTTAATTTGTCGAGTATTTAACTCACGCAGGAGTATACAGAAATAGACCTGAACATGTGGCCGTTTAATTTAGACTTTTGATTTATTGAATTACCAAAAAAACATGCTACATCTTCCATTAAAAAGTATGAAATTGCCTCAGTTGTAAACAAACACAGTACTTGAGTAGATTACGCCACTTTTTGCTCGTCCTTGATGATAACAACATTAAGGTGGTATATTAAGTCTTATTATTATTTGACTATCATACCTCATTTTGTACTCTTTACAGTACATGAGTGAATGTACCCTGATACTTCCCACCAATGCTTACTCAGTATTCGCAGTAACATGAAGTGGGCAAGGCCGCCTTAATGCACGGGCTGACCTGGGCTGAAGCCCATGGGCCTACGGAGATCGGGGGCCTATCATGAGCCAATAAAAAAATGCATTGTTTTATAATTCGTCAAATGTTCTGTCCATCATTTGATCTGCATGTATGTGGCTGGTGATTGATACAAGTTATAAGACACCCGCCCCGTGGGCACCACTTAACAGCCAATCAAAATGAGAATATGTTTCACATGTGACTTATTCAAAATGCGAGTGATTGAGAGACAGATGAAGGTTGTTTAGGTGAAAATGTCGGAGAAGAAAAAGTTTGAGAGTGGCGCTCGGAAAAGGAAATTGTTGAGGGAAAAGGAGTTTCGAGACAAGCAACTATTAAAAAAAATGCCGAAGTTTACAGGTTATTTTAAATCTGTAGGCCAGGATGAGGAGGAAGGACAGATGAGTTCTGTACCGAGCGGCAGCGGTGTGTGTGTGTGTGTGTGTGTGTGTGTGTGTGTGTGTGTGTGTGTGTGTGTGTGTGTGTGTGTGTGTGTGTGTGTGTGTGTGTGTGTGTGTGTGTGTGTGTGTGCGTGCGTGCGTGCGTGTGTGTGTGTCAGAGCCTGCCGAGGCTATACATTACTTTGATTTGTTGTTTAAATAGGGGGCCTACAAAACCCATCAGCCCCAGGGCCTGATGGCAGGTTAAGGCGGGCCTGAAAGTGGGTAAGTAGGTCTCGTATTAATCTGACTATCAAACCTCATTTTCTACTTCTTTATACCACCAGTTATAATAAGGGTTGGTCAAACGTCAATCATGTATGCAGAGGACAATAGTTTAGTAGAATGAAACCAGGTCAGAAGGTCCTGATGATGGGGGAGATGGGGGAGATGTCTTTGGGCGTCTCTTCGGTGAAAAGATAGAAACGTTGTCACAATGGATTTGAGGAGAACATCCCTTCAGCCTGGAGCAAACCTCAGTGCCCTCATAATCTCAAGTTGCTCCTAATGCCTCCGTGAAACATCGTCACCAACAATCATGTCTCTTTGCCTGAAAGTCAAGATGATTACATGTAATGTATAATCATAACAATCCCTTTTTAATTTAGGATTGAATGCAGACTCACTACTGATGAATCAGTGTTATGGTGGTATTTTGAACTCTGACACACAGCTGTCTTCTGTGATTCTTGGATGTAATATAATACAAATATTACATAATTGAATCTAATTATAAGTTAATAGCTGACTGACACAATGACTGGGCAATAACCAGTGAACACCACATGTCTTTAATGCATCATAAACATGATTTTAATGTGTTATAACCCTCTTACCGCTCTGTATAAGTATTGTTATATGTTTTATTGTAGTAGAAATAATTTTTCTTTCATTCTATTAATTTATTTGATTTGTTATTGGACATTTTTCTTTAACTTCTTATGTTTTTATATATATGTTTAATGTTTGAATGTAGTTTTATGTATTATATATCAAGATTTTATTCTCTTATGTTTCTAAAAATATTTTATATATTTTTTATTCAAGATTTTAATTGAATAGTTGTATTCTCTTAATTTTTGTTATTGGACCATTTACTTTTTATATGTATATCAATATTTATTTTACACAATTTCCCTATTTCAATTCTGAAAATAACACATTAGAAGCATTTCATAATCACATATGTACGGAAGCCCTTCAAGGCCATAATTAAACAGTGTGTTTACCCTTATATTACCATTATAACAAGTGTGTTTTATTTGTTAAATATTATGTAAATACTCAAATAATATACATTTTCTTCCCAAGATAATGAGATAAAAAATATTTGTTGTCTACAATGCAGTATTGCCCATGACGGACGTGACGAGCATTTGTAATTCTGATAATAACACATTAAAAGCATTTTATAATCACATATGTACGGAAGCCCTTCAAGGCCATAATTAAACAGTGTGTTACCCATATATTACCATGATAACAAGTTCATGAATTCAACAGTATTGCCCCTATATGTAAAGCTTCCCATGACGGACGTGACGAGCATTTGTCTCAGTTAGCTTGAACTGTAATGACTCAAACTGATGAGAAAACCTCTCAACATGTGTTCAGATAAACACGACATGAATCAGCATGAGTGTAGGACAGAGAGAGAAAATGCTGTTTACTCAATAATCGTTAACTTAAAATGCCGAGTGATAGCTTTACGGCGGCTGAGATTTGTTTGTGTAAATATAAGAGATGAAGCGATGCTATGCTAAGCTATGCCAGGCATGGTAAAGTGATCTGCTTAATACTGATGTCTTAGCAGCAGCGATATCCCCTCACTGCTTACAAGCCTTAATCTATTTCAGACGCACACGCAAGAACAGTCAGAAGTTAAATTTACAGACATATGAGAAACTCAAATCTGAGAGGCCAGACGTGTTTATACCGAATGTCCAAATATTCCCACAGACACACGATACTCCGTGTTCTTACACAGAATAACACGGAGTAATCTGTAATAATGACATGTGATTACGCATGTTAACAAACGCTAATGTGTTGGAAAGCTGCAAATTCACATGGACTAATTATTAATTGACTGGTTTAAATAATATATATGACTGCAATTACATTATTTAATTTAATTAAACAATCATTAACTGTTAATTTATTGAGGAACTATAAATAATATATATACTTTTTTACCAATACCTTGATAAAAAGATCTTATTATAACAAAATGTGTTATTTATTTATATATTATTATGTATTCATGCATTTATTTATTAATAATAATTTAAAAAATGCTAATTAAGTGGGAGGATGTTAATTTATAGTGTTTACTTTTGCTATTGGCTTAAAGAAATTGGAATATTTCTGGCTAAATAATGATTTTGTGGGGAATTTTATGCAACTTTACCGCATTACATTTTCTTAAAACAACTAGACTTACTTTAAAAAAAGTGAGTACGATTAATTTTACACTTAATATAATGTATTAGTTCGGATTTTAACTAACCTTATTCAATTACGTGGTACCTGCTGACAATATACAGTACGTTTCATTTAAATACATATTTACATTTTTCGAGGGCACATATATATAGTTGTGTACTTACATTTTCTCCAATGGCGTTGTATTACCTTTGAGCATGCATCAGCGTTGTGGTCGTCTGTTGAAAACTGATATATATAACGTTTAAAGCGATAGTTTACTCACTGAATACAATCTTAACCGACTGCAATGATTGTGAGAACAACAACTCCCATGATCCCTAGCGGCTTCATGAGCCACCAAACTCAGTTTTTGTTATTGCTGCCACAATTCATTCATAAAAATCGAATTTATGCAGTGAATGATCCACTTTGTGCATGCCCAAGTTGACCTTAAGACACCGGGGCAAAGGGCAACATTAAGGTAAGCAGAGATGAAGAGTTCTGCCCATATATTGCACGATAAGTCGATAGCATAATTATAGCCACAGGCCTAATTGAGCGTGTTCCCAGAAGAGTTGATCTGCATTTGCTGATTATAAACAAGATAATTGTGGATCGTCCGGCCTGATAAAAATCAGACCCGTCAGACATTTTGCTAAACGGCCTCCATGAAGGAAGGACACACTTATAAGGTTTTGGTTTATATTTGTCTTGTGCAACCAAATCGTATCCAGCATGCTGCGCCACATCAGAATAGTAACAGAGATATTCTATACTATTACTGACGAGTTCATCTTCACGAGAGGAGCGCCAGAATATTCCTGCAGAGGCTAGAGGAACACCTGACGTGACACACGGGACAACATAAACAAATAATATGTGGTATTATGATAAAGAAATAGCAATGTGAGTTATGAGCTGATATTTACTGCTCCAAAATTCACACTATGGTAATTCTCTACAGGTTGTAGTGTGTGTGTGTGTGTGTGTGTGTGTGTGTGTGTGTGTGTGTGTGTGTCTGTGTGTGTCTGTCTGTGTGTGTGTGTGTGTGTCTGTCTGTGTGTCTGTGTGGGTGTGTGTGTGTCTGTCTGTCTGTCTGTCTGTCTGTGTGTGTGTGTGTGTGTGTCTGTCTGTCTGTGTGTGTCTGTCTGTCTGTGTGTCTGTGTGTGGGTGTGTGTGTGTCTGTCTGTGTGTGTGTGCATGTGTGTGTGTGTGTGTGTCTGTCTGTCTGTGTGTCTGTGTGTGGGTGTGTGTGTGTCTGTCTGTGTGTGTGTGCATGTGTGTGTGTCTGTCTGTGTATGTGTGTGTGTGTGTGTGCGTGCGTGCATGTGTGTGTCTGTCTGTCTGTGTGTCTGTCTGTCTGTCTGTCTGTGTGTGTGTGTGTCTGTCTGTCTGTGTGTGTGTCTGTGTGTGGGTGTGTGTGTGTGTGTGTCTGTCTGTCTGTGTGTGTTTGTCTGTGTGTGTGTGTGTGTGTCTGTCTGTCTGTCTGTCTGTCTGTGTGTGTGTGTGTCTGTCTGTCTGTGTGTGTGTCTGTGTGTGTCTGTCTGTGTGTGTGTGTGCATGTGTGTGTGTGTGTCTGTGTGTCTGTCTGTGTGTGTGTGTGTGTGTGTGTGTGCGTGCGTGCGTGTGTCTGTGTGTGTGTGTGTGTGTGTGTGTGTGTGTGTCTCTGTTGTTGTAACACGACACTAATCCCGGAGTGATCATCAGTGGAAACGGTACAAACTGACCCGAGACAAACTGAGGCACCTGCCGCGTTAATGTGAGACCTCGCAGAAGATGCTTTGATTTACTGCCTCCTCTTTTCCCCCCGGACCTCATTATGAAAAGGTCAGCGTGAGGCCAGCGTCGCTGAGAGGATGAACCTTGACGATACACAGAAGTGAACATGAGACGGGGAATTCAAAACATTCTGATAAGACAAGAGGGAGTCCATCAAAGTGAAAAAGCTTCCATAACATAACAGGGAGGCGGGTGGCGCAGTGGGTTGTGCGTAGGTGATCGGATCAGGGGGAAACAGGTTCAAACCCCACTGCAGTCAGCATGTCGTTGTGTCCCTGAGACACTTCACCTCAAATTGCTCCTGTGGGGTTTGTCCACAGTATTGAGTATGTAAGTCGCTTTGGATAAAAGCGTCTAACAAGTCACATGTAATGCAATGTCAAATTTGAGACTCATCAAACACACATAATCATGCTAGTGGGAAAGAAGACATACAAAATACACATTAAGTAATTAATTGCGTCTGAAAATGTCTCTAAAAATCAGAGGAGAGGATGAACCTCGACGATACACAGAAGTGAACATGAGACGGGGAATTCAAAACATTCTGATAAGACAAGAGGGAGTTCATCGATTTAAATGCATCTGTAGGATTTTATGGCAATGAAACGGTATATGCTCTATTAAGGTGCTTTAGTATCTTCATGCACTACCAAATGTAAGATTTTGTGATATTTTGCTTCAATAACATGACTTAAACACACACATAATCCTACTAGTGGGAAAGAAAACACACAAAATACACATTAAGTAATTCATTTTTTACCAATTTTGTCTAATTGCGTCTGAAAATGTCTCCTAAAAGTGAGAAGTGAGCATTAGATAATTTCAGGGGGGAGAGAAACTGCCTTTTCACACCATTTACATGCAACAAATTCTATATTACACACCACAGGAAATGGAAAAGGTATAGTACATGCAAATAAATATGAGACACCTGTTTTAACAAGGCATAACATCTTTATTGTTATACACATAACTTCATCTCCAAAGACTTTGCACAAATCAGTGGGGTAACATGAACCTTGAGATATCAAAAGTCTCCCGCAGTTCCTCGTCATTTCCGAAAATACTCAAACAATACATCTGCCTTTCACATCCCCAAAATGGTACATACAGTACAACCAATTAGAAATAAAGTATGTTTTTATCCACTGTCAAACATTATCATATGTGCATTACATTACCAATTACAAACAAGTTATATTCATTGTCAAAATACAGGTGTGCAAATTGTTAGAAAAATACCAACTCATATACCAGATTCTGGATTGTGCTCTGTAAAAATCCTTACAAATAGTATATAATAATCTATATATAAATGACTCCAACATGCAATGCTGCATTTCCAAAAATATCCCATGAACTGTTCTGTTAAACCCTCCGAAGCTCCACCGCGCTCGCGTGAAGACGTTAAAACAAGAAAAGAGGGCGTGGCAAAAAGAGGGTGAAAAAAAATGCATCACATTTTGTCATAAAATCTTAAATAATTTAGTGTCCTGGTCTGCGTTGATGTCCACATTTTAATATATTGTTTGCTAATATCTGAATATGTGATGTGTGCAGCAAATAAAACCATAGAAAGCCCTTTTTGTTTTTGAATGATGACCATCGATTGTACATTGAATAAATAATTAACCTCGGTCGTGATGACAGAAAAATGCATATAAATAACCACTTTTTTTTTTTAAATCAAAGAAACTCATGCCATTTCTGCAACAAAGACTACAAACAGAGGCTCTAAAGCGTGAGTCAGGCGATGACAACAGTCGAATATCCCCCGCACGGCGACAAAGTTAAGACAAGGACGGCATCTCTTCCCCTCCCCCCTTCCTCATCTCTTTCTGAGGTAAACAGAAGTTCTGTTAAAGACTTTTTAAAGGCATCTCTCCCTGGCGCCACATTCCCCATGGCCTCGACCTGAATAAACCCAACTTCCTGATCCACCTGACCCACCCAGTCTTTGCATTTTAGTGGAGACATTCAACTCAAAAAGAAAAGGACAGAGGAACTCAAACGGCTTCATTTCCTTCCTTCTGGTTTAATAAATAACATAAGACATTTGTTACTTCACTCTCTCAGAGCTACGTAGCTTTTAAACCTCCTCCCTCAACACAACCGGCTCAAAACCAGAGAATTTAAATGATGAGAGTCTGACAAAATAAATGGAAAATAAGGATTTTCTTTAATATATTACTATACCCCCCCTTCTTTTTTCTTTTTGGCAAAATATACTATAAGCTTTTCTTTGAAAAAATAAAACATATTGCACTTTCAGTAACGTGTAATGTCAAATTACAACTTAATAAAACAAAAAAGGGGGGAAACTAAATGAGAGTGGGGAGAAATGTTCCTTTTTCAACTACTAGCAACATTCAACAACGAACAAAAATAAATCAAACGAGATGTTAAAACTGTACCATGCACGGGGAGGTTTCAGAGCAGTGCATCCTGGGTAACGGTGGAGGGAGTTGTGTGAACAGAGTAAGACTGAGTGACCGTGGAGCAGTTTCCTCTTGCAGGATTTGGTGTAACCCCAGAAAACGAGTCCCTCCCTCAGCGATGCCCCCCCCCCCCAAAAGGGTCGCCTTCTCACATCTCCCCATCAAAACGTCAGATGGCAAAATAGAAAGGCAGCTGTTTGCTCCCGTCATATTTCAAAGTGCATCTCCACACTCCTGCGACCGTCCGTTTCCCACACTGTGTGGCATTTTTAAACTTTTTTTATTTTTATTTATCATCTCACTAGACACGACATTTCCCCCCCAGGAGGAGCTGCTAATCGACAGGTGTGGCCCCCGAAGAAAAGGCCCCTGACAGGGTGGTGTTTTTTTGGGGGGGGCCTTCACCTTCACTTCCTGATTCTCCTACGGCCGCCACCCCGTGTCTCACTGGGCGCCATTTTCTTTTTTCAAGGCCGGCGATGCAACTGTACCGGTCGCGAAGGTTTCACTGCAACGTGAAGATAAGATAAGAAGTTCTTTATTGATCACAATTTGGGACATGTTGGCGTTGCAGCAGCATCAAAAGACATGGCATTGTACAATAACAATTAAAATAAATAAACAAGAAAGTAGAAGTAGGGGTGGATTTAATGACACACACACGGAGAATAAAAAGGTCAGATTCATATTTGTAAATACTTATAAATACATTAATTCAGGGGTGTTTAAATCTGAAACTGTGCGTATTCACTTAACCTTACTTTACTGGTTTACTTTTGCTCAATTCCTGGATGTCTTTGTGATCATAACTTTGGGAGAAGACAGCCTAATATTGCTGTTTAACTTCAGAGTACACATATTAAACATGTTAATTAAAAACTTTCCTGTCCTTTCAATTTTTTAACTCAGTTTCTGTATTCGGAAAATGGGAAGAACAGTCAAATCCCCCGAAGTTTAGGTTGTTTTTTGCAAAACTGCATAGCTAGATCGGTTCATTACATTACTCTGAGTGATGTCTTAAAAAGAAACAAAGACAAACGTCTCTGATTGGTGCCTTTCAAATGTCAATATTTTCCATTTTCCTTATTCCTCTTTGAAAGTTAAAGGTGGGGTATGCAATTTATTTCAGAAACACTTTTTGTTATATTCCATGGAATGCTCTTAACATCCCGATAGCAATGAATATATTAAATGCTTTGACAATAAATACATAAAAAAATTTCATCAGTGGAAGCCGTAGTACTGTAAAAAGCACGACCAATCATCTGAGCCGGCCCGGCTAAAGTAACTGGATGGCCTACCTGCCTGTCAGCCTTCCATCTGTGCACAAACTTATCTCGTGCCCTCATTGGTCATGTGCGCGTTCGTGTGTGTTGGAGGAGGGGCTCTGTAAGGAAGTCTGAAGGAAGGGGCAGATTTTTTCCGGTTGTGTACTTTCAAATTCTAGTGCACTCGAGGAGCTGGTTTCTCCAAAATTACATACCCCACCTTTAAGTTGATATCTTTAACTTGTTAATGTAAAAAGACATTTACATTTTTGGGGAACACTGATAGTCTTTCTTTTACATTTTATAGACCAATCAACCTACCATTTGATCCAGATTATATGAACAGGTTAATCAATAATGCAACTAATCCTTAGTTGCAGCCCTATGTGATCTTCTGTGAGTAACTAACTGTAATATTACGTAACATCCATTCACGGAGCCTCTCACTTTGAACACCTCTGCATTAAATCATCTTGTGCGTTTCCATTTACAACTGATGAATAAGTGTGCGGTAGAATAAATGAACGTACCTGAGAAACAGCATCATCATGTCAGAAAATGGACAAATATAATTGCAAGGCCAATATTCAGCAGCATAACCATAGCAACAAGGACCGAGTTAGGACCCTGAAAAAAAAGAAAAGGCATTATGATTAATACCAGATATTACATAATAATATACAACAACTATCACACCATTGATACAGACTGAGAAAATACAAAGCATTGAGGAACAGAAACATATTCAGGTCTGCTTTTTTTCATCTCTCTTGTTTGCTATTACGAGAAATATGAATTCATTATACTTGAGTGCTCATGGTTTATGTAAAATTAGCTAAGAAATGTAGTTGTGGTGAGTCTTACCAACCGATAGCATCTGACACAAGTTACCTGGTTTCTAATTGAGACCTTTATTTGTCAAAATGTGGAGTCTGGACCCTGAAGGCAGCATCTCTACAAAAAGCCAATGGGATTTCTCCATGTGATTCTGGATTATTCAACGTTTATGATACTTACACGTTTTTTTCAGCAGGATAATTTCCACATATTAACACCACCTTATGATTTCTAAAGTAAAAAGCTAATGTTGGGCTATAAAGGAACTACAGCTCGGTCACATGACTTCACGTCACCACCGCTAAGCTAAAGGTGGCTAATGTTGGGCTATAAAGGAACTACAGCTCGGTCACATGACTTCACGTCACCACCGCTAAGCTAAAGGTGGCTAATGTTGGGCTATAAAGGAACTACGGCTCGGTCACATGACTTCACGTCACCACCGCTAAGCTAAAGGTGGCTAATGTTGGGCTATAAAGGAACTACAGCTTGGTCACATGACTTCACGTCACCACCGCTAAGCTAAAGGTGGCTAATGTTGGGCTATAGGAACTACAGCACGGTCACATGACTTCACGTCACTACCGCTAAGCTAAAAGAGGCTAATGTTGGGCTATAAAGGAACTACAGCACGGTCACATGACTTCACGTCACCACCGCTAAGCTAAAGGTGGCTAATGTTGGGCTATAAAGGAACTACAGCACGGTCACATGACTTCACGTCACCACCGCTAAGCTAAAGGTGGCTAATGTTGTCCGTGATGGCGTTTAGTCGTCTCATTTAGACACTTGTTAGCAACCGCCATTTTTAAAGTAAACGTAAATATCTCTCAAGCTTGTGTTTACTACAGAAATGCTGTCTTATTTCAAGGTTTAAAGACTCATTCCTGCACCTCTCCCTGCACTTACTGTCTCCTCCATGCTGTCTGCGATCTCCATGCTGGCTTTCTTTGCGTCTGCGAGGCTCTTTGGCTTTAGGGAATCCTGCTTCCTGAGTTTGGGGTCGCTCTTGTTCTCCCGTAGAGAAGGTTTCGGAGTGATGCTGTAGGATTTTGGGGGCTGTGGGGGCATTCGTGCCAGATCCAGGATGGTTGGCTCTTCTTCTCTATCCTCCTCGGGGTCTGGGGGTGGACGGACCCTCGTTGGGGCTTTGACGTAGTAGCTGTGGTACTCACTATGGACCTCTCCATTAACAGGGACTGAAGGAGGAGGAGATACAGATGCAGGGGGAGGCTGAGATTTAGCAGGTTTTGGGGGAGCCTCAGCAACAGGGACTCTTTCCTCTTTACTCAACTTCCTGCCTGACTTCGTCTTCTCCTCCTTGCTTGTTTTATGCGAGGGTTTCTCCTCCTTGCTGGTTTTCCGGGAGGGTTTCTCCTCCTTGCTGGTTTTGCGGCTGCTGCTGCTGTTGGGAAGCTGATCCTTCTTCTTCTTGCTGGAGTGAGGCGAGGGGGGAGGCGTGACCACGGCATTTGCCACGGGGGAACGAGGGGGAGTCGTGCCTTTTCGGTAGAATTGGGGAGAATCTTTGTTGGGTTTCTCCGTCTTTTCAACAGGGACCTCTTTAATATCCACTGGCTCCTTCTGAGGCTGTTTGATGTAGTCAGGCC